TGAAATGTTATTTTAAAAACAAAACAATTGTTAAGTGTTCCATAAAGGTTATGTTGAATTTTGGTCAGATGAATATTTGTAAGTAAAAAATATATGCATTTCTGAACCTCAACTTACATAGATTTTCTTTATATAAAAAAAAAAGAAAAAGTTGGCTATAGTTGGCCTGATTAACAGGCACTATACATGGTGCTGTGCAAAAATAGTAAGCTAGCATCTTACTGCCGTCAATACTAGCAGGTACAGAGCCTTTTTTCATCCTAATTTAATAAGTTCTCAGGCTTCCAAGTCAGACAGACAGGGAGGAGTAAAGTGAGGCGACAGATTCACCGTAGGCTTTTTGAAGCATCAAAGGGAAATATAACTACTGATAGTGAAGGCCCAGCCATGACCCAGATGGGGCTTACCCTTGACAGGAACTAGGGACCGAGAGCCTCCCAATTGCCCTAACTCCTGTCATTGGTATTAGCAATATCTGGCCGGATTTAGAACCAGTCATGGAAACTTGTGCTCAAACTAAAAGTAGGTCATCACTTCCCAGAAACAGAACACCTTGTGCTTCCTGAAACAGCATATATCACTGTGAAACTAAAGAATGTTCTACAGACACACCTGTAGAAGGAAACAAAGAACAGGATAGTTTAGAAAGCTTTCTCTTAGCTATATTCAGCAAATTTCATATTAGTTGCTCAGGATTGCTAGTTGGTATGCTTTTGTAAAATGAGATTGAAATTTAATAAAAGATGCAACTAAAATCTTTTCCTGCATGAAGCGAAAAGCACTCAAGTTGAGAGAGGGGCAATGGAATCTCCCCAGGATGACTGAAGATGACTTCTTTTTACAGCAAGTACCATTAGCCTTTCTGCACCCAACTTCTGGGTCAGCAGCAAGGTGAACTCAACAGACGTTGCTCTTGACTGTTTGAAGGTAGAAGCAGCCTGCCCTTTCTCTTTGTTAAAAGAAGGTCAAAGGCGTCACAACCAGGATGCAAGGTCTGTGGTCCAGAAGCTTGCGGTGAGTGTGTGCCACTGATGGAGCCCCAAGCCCACCCACCAGCCACTCCTGATGGGGTTGCTCACACTGCAGCTGCCCTATCACAACCCTGCACTTTCCTTGGAAGATTTAAATGTTTGATTGCAAATGAATGTTTTAAAAATGTATTTAATGCAGTTTTTCCTGCTCTCAACATGACCACCCAAGATTCAAGTTACTATTTTTTCAGAACATCACTGATTTTAAAATCTGTCCCAACAGGACTTGGTTTTGTGCAGATATCAGAGTGCTAATGTGAGAAACCCGGTTAAAAGAAAACTTAGTTTATTGGGAAGAAAGCCTTAGGCCCACTCGTTTCTAGTACTGTGAAAATATCCTTGGTTGGCATTTTTAATGCAAAACATTATAGTATTGGTATTAAATAGTACCAGGTAAATATAAAGAAACCAATAATGAATTGCTGAGACAATCTTGAACCCAAATAGCATTAGAGAGCTGAAGGCCCAATGAAATAACACTTTCACACTTAAACTCTGTGGATACATCTTGCCTGTGGGTATAAACAGATGGTCAAATTAAAAATGCTTTACTATAATTAACTTTTCTGAATTGAATGAAGGGAAATGTATTTATTGAAACAAAGCTGTTTGCTGCTTTATGCAGGTGCAGTGTTCAGTCAGCAAGGAAGTGGGAAGAGTGGACATGGTCTTGTGTCTACACCCAAGTTCTTAACTAAGCTTCTCGCTCTAATACTGCATTCTGTTTCTCCTTTTGTGCCCTCATTGTAATCCAAAATTTATGAACTAGAAAAGAATGTCCAATTTAATAAGTTGCATTTTTTTTTCCTTAAGCACTTTATTCAGAACAATACATGTTCTTCTGGTAGTGTTTGGATAATATGATTTTAACACATGCTAATAAAAGCCAAGAAAAATCGTGGCAACTTCTAAAAAGGAGTCTGTTTTCCAAATGTCTAGAACATTAGGAAACATCAGAAGATAATGTGTACACACTTTTGGAACCTGTGATTCTTGGTAAATGAAGGGCTGGGAAGTGCTTTGCATTTCAGAGTGGGACCCAGTGCCTTAGGGTAACTGTGGCTCCTAGAGGCATCTGCAGCAGTCTGGGGACCCCACTCTTTTTGGCCTCCTTCTGAAGGCCAGCAGACCTTCACAGGTGGGCACTCCCAGCCACAAGGTATCCCGTCCCCAATGTCATGTCCATCCCCTCCGTCCTCTTCTTAGGTATGCCCCATCTCCACTGCCACCAGCTGCTCAGTGTGCAAGAGCTTGCTATCCCTCTGCAAGGACACACAGTTGCTCTTCATCTACCACGCACTGCCACCTTTCCCGTCTCTGAATTGTAGGCACACCTTCTATCTCAAGGCCTCACTGGAAACAAAGCCAAGGACACCTGTACCAGAGTGTGGTGGGAGGATGATGAGGTGGGCAAGAGAGGGAATAATCATGGTGGGAACCTCTGGGAGGACCCAAGGTAAGGCCAAGAGAGTAGGAGCAGGTCCAAGCAGGCCCCTGTTTCCCATAACTGCCACAGGGAAAACTTGGAAGTGAAGCCTAAGAAAAGAGGAAGGGGGCCTCCCACCCCAGATCTTGCTGGAGGGCTGACAGAAAGGTTCCAATTTCTTGCCACCTGGGATAGGGACTGGTGCTGTCCCCATCCTGCCCCTTCCCTGTTTACTGGCCAGAGAGGCACATGTTTATTTCCAGCATGAGAGAAGGTCTAGGATCTGGCTTTAGGGAAGGCTGAGGGAACCCCCCAAGGTCCACTGAGTGGACTACTAAGCCACCTTTCCTCCTTCTATCTCTGCAGCCCCTGGCTCCTGGCTTTGGCAAGCACTCTGCCCTCAGGCTGAGTGGAGGTCCAGAGCCAGTCCTGGAATAAAACCACCCTCCTTGACAGAGCCAAGTCTGCCCTCCTTCCTGTCAGGCACTCACACCCAGGAGCCAACGGGTCTTAAAACCAAAAGCGGCACCCATCCTTTACTTCCTTGTTTGCTTCTGTTGTGGGAAACCAGGCCTAGGGTCTCTGCCAATGAGTTCAATCCTCTGGGAGTGGGCTGATATTTGAGCCACTCTCGGGAACCCCCTTACACCCCATTCCCCTGTTCCTTATGCCATGAAACTTGTGGACTCTTGGAGATGCCCTGCAATGCTGAACCCACAGCATCCCTGAGTCACCAGTAATGGGAGGAAGAGGCATGTCACCATTCCTAACACTCCGGCCCCATCACCTAGTGCCCCACTTGCTTTCCCACTGCCCTGCCTAGCTACTTCATCCATCACTGACACAAGAACACTCTCCCCCTACAGGCTCAGTTCCCCAATCTCATTTTCGCCTCTCTCCCCTGCTTTGGGAGGCCCTGGTGGCTCCATCTCTCATCTCACCAGTGTTGGAAGATCCTTGGCTTCCCAGATTCTGGGGAGATCAGATGGCTGTCAGCTGGGTGCACCCCCTCGAAGTAGCTCATTCAGAGCCACACACATCTGTAGTATGGAAGCCCAGGCATAGGGCTGCTCCAAGTCGTTTGCCACTTCTGAAGTGGGCACAGACCATATGGGCCCCGCTCTTGAGCCCACTCCCAAAGGGAAGAGCACAGCCCCATGGTGGGCTGTGAGTCTGGGGATCTGGAATAGTGCATCCAGCTTCCTGACAGATCCTGTCAGTGAGGGCTTTGCCATACACATTGAGATCCTGTACAGGTTCCGATGAGCACTGTGGACATGTGTGTTTCCATCCAGGGGTGACACAAGGTCCTGGCAAACACAGTGGCCTTAAACAGTAGGGCCTATTGAAGGTCACCGGCCTTGGTTCCCAACTCTGGGGACTGACTTATCCATGTATCCCCAGAGCCAGCTCAGGGCCTAGCACAGACTGTCTTGTGCTAGGCTGACGAAGTGTGATGCACCCACGAAGACGTCCTCTGGGAGCTAACTGCCCATTTAAAGAACTTCAAGTCATGGACAAAACCAGCAAGGAGGAAGACGCTGGCATTTGCTTCCTAGTATAGAAGAACATGGCCTCCTCAGGAAAAAGTATGCCTGCACTTGGCAAATTTACAAATAAAGTGGTTAGAGGGGGTGGCATTGTGTGCCAATAATTTCCAAGTGGTCACAATAGCTACTTTTTACTGAAATCCTGTGTCCCTCAAGGGGAGAACTGCAGAGGGATGGCTAAGCCAGGCAATTCAGTGAGAGCTGAAGGCAACCTGGCCCCACTAGGAGCTCTCAGCTTTTAAATTTAGGTGTCACCCAGAATCAGAAACCAGAGAAATGGGGGAGGGATGCGTCAAGAAAATTAGATGAACCCTGTTTCCAAATTTGACGTCTAAGCATTGCTTTATGAACATGCCTTGGTAATGTAGAACTGCAGATGGGAAAATCTGGCAGCATTAAATGACTGTTGGTGTGACTTGGGCAGGCAGCATGAGGAAGCATTTGGAGCCTATTTATATCTGCCTCGGCATCAGGGTGCCTGAAAGTGTCATAGCCAATCTTGCACTGTTTTCAAGCTCATTGTTACCAAATTAAGTTCTAAAATTGTTTAATTCATAAGGTAGATTTATTGTTGGGGAAACACCATCTCATATAACCCAGTATCCTCTGAGATGACACTATATCTCACAACAGGATGTAATAACTGATGTTCAATTATTTTGTAAAATCCCAAAGATAGAAAAAAAAAAAACAAACTGTGTTCTACATACTGTTTAATAAGGCAGAAAAGTATATACTATTCTCTTTCTTTACTTTTTTTTTTTTTTTTTTATTAAGACGGAGTCTCACTCTGTCACCCAGGCTGGAATGCAGTGGCATGATCTCGGCTCACTGCAACCTTCACCTCCCCAGTTCAAGCGATTCTCATGCCTAAGCCACCCAAGTAGCTGGGATTACAGGCGCACGCCACCACGCCCGGCTAATTTTTTGTATTTTTAGTAGGGACAGGGTTTCACCATGTAGGGCAGGCTGGTCTCGAACTCCTGACCTTAAGTGATCCACCTGCCTCGGCCTCCCAAAGTGCTGGAATTACAGGCGTGAGCCACTGCGCCCAGCCGTATTATTTCCATTGTCTACAAAAGACAGCTAAACGAAAAAGTATTGGTACTCAAAAGAGTAAGTTCCGATTCTGGAGGTCCGTTTTGTGCAGTAGACCCCTGGTCACGTGCTCCGGAAGAGCAGCACAGCCATCTCAATCCACATCCTCGGGAAAGCAAAGCGCCTCAGTGGGCCCCTCTGTTGCTTCAGCCTCACCGCCTGTGGGATGACAGATGTTCGGTAGGACTCCTGAAACAGCCCTGTCCCAGACCTTCTGTCCCACCCACCATCCACAAAGAAATGGGAAGTTAAAGGTCAGAGCGGGAGAGCCAGCAAAGAAGTCCTGATATGTGTTAGGGACCAGGAATTAAACAGAATGGATAACATTGAGCATTTAATTCATGTCATATGCCAGACCAAGAGCTTTACATCCTGTCTTTCATCTTCACAACAGCTCTATGATGAAGATTTTTATTATGAAGTTAGTTGTGGTTATGACGAGTCTATCATTATCTCCATTTAACAGATGAGGAAACTGAGGCCCAGAAAAGGTAAGTAACCTTTCAGAGGCTCTTCAGCTGGGGAATAGTGGAGCTAGAATTCAAACCCGGGATTGTCTGTCACCTTGACTCCTGCGTTTTTTTACCAGGAATAGTGCTAAGTACAATGGAGGCATATGCAGCTCCCCAAAGCTGAGAAAGTGTGACACATCGGAATAAATGGGCAGAACAGCACCCCAGCCAGGCTGCTTCAGTGTCCAAAGGAGGCTGTGCACTTACTCCCAGGGTGTGGTCTGCAGGTAACCCCTTTTCTCATCACCTGAGGCCAAAACGTCAGTCTCATGATCTTCCAGCACTCCCAACAGCCCAGTGAGAACTTCCCAGCCACCTGCCCCAGACTTGGCTCTGAGTTACAGCTATTTGCTTCCAATCACCACCCCCTATTCCCAAAAGCTTGAAGGTGCCCCACAACCCTGGACACATAAGGAAATGCATCATGGACTCTCTGAGGGCAGGTCCCAGAGGAAAGCTGGCCTGGAGTGTGTCAGTGGGTCTCTGATCCACACAGAGCCACACTTCCCAAGATTTCCTGGCCCCCCAACCTCTGGCATGCTCAACTTGTTCCTCAGCTGGCAGTGGGAATAATTCTGCTTCACAGGGCAGTGGCAAGTCCACCCATTTTGACTTGGCTGCGTTTCAGATCTTGAGACCATGAGCATATCAAACATTTAGGCAAATATATTGATTAAAACCCAAACATTTAGACACACATGGGTTATTTCCATTTCAGATGGAATGTGGCCTTCTCCCAAGAATCCAACCCTCGCATCCTTTGGGTTTTCCCAAGGTAATCATCTCCCAGCCCCTTCCACTCATTTCATGCTCAAACCGGAGACATGTAATGCAGCAGTTTCACTGGTTGTAGAGTAGACTTAGTCACATGGGCTCCGGGCCCCTTGGGGCTCTCACCCAGATTTGGAGGTGGCAATGCCACCTGGCTTGCCTTTCCCAGAGGCTGTCTGAATGCTTCCCATGAAGGGAAGGTCCTAAACAATGGTCATGCATTGAAATGTGGGGCTGAGGGAGATGAGGTCACAGCAAGCTCGAGGTTGAAGCCCCTTCTGTATAGCTGCATTTCTCAGTGAGCCCTTAGGGGCTTAACGTGGAGTGTGTGGAGTATGTCTGGCCTCTGACTGGCTTTGAGGTAGGCTTCCAGAAAGTTAATGAAATTTTCCCAATGGTTTCCACAGGGAAATGCAAATAAAGTACTTTTTGCAACAAAAATATGACTCCAAAATAAGCAGCAAAAAATTTAATGAGGTATTAAAAAGCAACACTGTTACTCTATGAGGACACAAAACAGTTTAGTATTGATACTCAAGTTATATAATGACCTGTATTTTCAGAACAGGACTGTATTAGTTTGAAGACTTAGTTACCAAAAATTATCAATCCCCCACACACTCAAGCACATAGTCACAAATTCCTTGTATCTATGATTTAATAAAGATCAAATCTGCCTTGATGACTTACCCTGAGGGGCTTCTGTATCTTTGTCTGAAAATTTCAAACTGGGGAAGAGCAATGCCAGTTCTCTGTCAGCATCTTCTCTGTCCCGGCTTCCGTGGATGGCATTAAAGGGCATTTCTGTGCCGTACTGAGCTCGGAGACTGGGAACATTGGCAAAATGTAAAAGAAACAATTGTTTCATTTGAAAAGAAATGTTTTGCTTTCTGGCAACATGATCACCGGCTACCAATCAGCACCCTGCATTCCTGTGAAATTGATTTCTCTGCAGGAAATACCAAGAACAGCAGCAATAATAATAGTAGCTGGCATTTATTTGGTCATGGCAGTGTGCTGGGCACATAGTTGGGTACTTTACTTACACGATCCCATTGCATTTTCGCCACAGCTCTATGAGATATACTGCTGTTACCCCCATTTTAAAGATGCCTGATTAATAGTGTAAGCACAGGAGCTGCCATTTTGTCGATATTACTGCCAAAGGCTAGCACCCTACCAAGTGCTTGATAAAGTTTTGCATAGTTATCCTTGCAATAACTTCGTAAGATAATAATATTGCTATGATTTCCTGTGTGTCAAGCACTACTCTCGGTGAGGTATATACATGTATGTATACACACTCGTGATGGATGCTTATATCCCCATTTTACAGTTGAGAGAACTCAGGCTAAGAAGAGACTTGCAGTGACCTAGGATCTGAATCCCGAGCTGGCTTTCACTAGCCCAGCCTGCCTCATATATAAATGTTCCTGGTCCCCTACAGCTACAAAGTACAACTGCAGTTCCTTGGCCTCTCTAATTTCTTTCCTGTTGTCTGCGCCTGTCAGCTTCAAAGGCCAAGGTACAGTGGATTTGGATTGCTGGCGCCAGGCTAAATATTCCCGTGTCCGAGGAGCAGGCCAAGGAAGCCCAGTGCAATGTGCAGAACAGGGTACTCAGACTCCTGAGGGCCTCAGGACACCCTGATGGGGAGTAGGTTTGGATGGCATTGAGACTACAGTGCAGATTCTCAGGCCCTGGCCCAGAGTCTCTGACAGGCTTGAATGGGACCCTAGAATCTGTATTTTCCTGGGAGTACCCTATGGAATCCTCTGGCTGCAAAGAGAAAACAGCGACTGAGGAATGAATCCAGAAGCAGCCTTCAGAAGAGGACAGAGCAGGGGAGGAGGCACCTCACGGGAGGCACTCAGTACAGGCTGGGCCAGAGCGGGAAGATGTCAGGGTCTCCCCAAATATATAAGAGAGAGGCTCCTGGCCATCAGAGAGTCCTCTGTGTTACCCACGATTCTAGGCTGAACACTTTGAGTGGGACTCAGCCTCCTGGAATGCAGGTTTTAAGATGGATGAAAGGACCACAGCTGGTGACGTCACCTTTCAGGCTGCTCCCTCCTGGCCACATTGGGGTCACAGGGGCCCATGACGGTTCGCCATCTAGTGACCACGTCTTCGAAGCCCTCAGTCCTGGTAAGGATCAGGAGGTGGCTTGGTCCACTGCACATGTGATGTACCAGCTTCTCAAATGCCTCCTAGGCACAGGGAGGGAAAACAGTGACCCAGGGCAGGAGCTGCTAGGGCCTGCAGAGGATCAGCAAGCCCATCTCACCCACGGGATGAGAGGGAGTTAGTGGGCAGCCTTGCTACCAGCCAGCATGCCCGTGGCCACTCAGCCACTGCACTCTGTCTCTGCCTGGCCACCTCTGCCTGCTGTGGAGGGTGTCAGGCATGGGTGGTAGTGATGACCAGCCACACTCAGAGCACTCAGAATGACAAGAGTTTTAAGTTTACTCATTTGGGAATAAACATGAGATGATTATATAAGTTAGGCAGAGACATTTAAAAGACCGTATCTATGGAAATCATATGATGCTGGATAACCAAGGGGTGAAATATAGTTGATACTTTTTTTTTTTTCATGCAATGCCTCACAACCCTTCCTCCTCAAGTAACAGTACTCTGGTTTTCCTTCGGGGAACAGCCCTTATCCATTTCATTTGGTCCAGATTTGACTGACAACCATGATGCCTATTCCCCAACACAGACACACACACACACCCCTGACATGAGAGGAAGGGCTATGGCCCAAGCTAAGCCAAGAAGACTCCCAAGCAGGTGGGTCATCAGCAGAAGCAAATGGAAGGTGCTTAGATCTGAGTTATCCAATGGCAGTGTCTAAAGTGATATGCTCGAGGCTTTGCTTCTGAGATCCCTCGCTCCCTTTTGTCTCCAAGCCTTTCTCATTAAACTCTCCCTTCAACTATGGGTTATCCTTCTAATAAATTCCTTAATTCATTTCTTAGAGTCAAAACTTTTTCTTTGCAACCAAAAAACTTTACCTGATACAGCCTATTGTCATTCTGAGAACAAATTCATGACCCACTTGCTGTTCCTATTTTGGCTCTTCATAATTTCTTCTGTCACAAACTAATATCAATCTATAAGCATAATGTTGGAGGAAGAGAAACGACAGCGTGTTGAACTTGTGGAAGTAGATGAGCTGACCTCTCCAGCTCTGTGTTGGTAGAAAAGTCGCATTTCTGCCTCTGTCATGGTTCTCTCTTCATTTGTTAGAATTTCAAACCCAGCTTCCTGAATCTGTAGAATATATATATAAATATTCTGAAAGGGTAAATCAAGCCCAAATTCACATTGATTAATTAATTTAGTTGCAAGGTAAAAAAATAAAGACAGGCAACATTAAAGGCTGTGGAGACACCGATCCCCACATTATCTGTCCCAATCAGATTTAACATTTTCATTTGCTTGAATGGAGTTTGAGCTACAATCTCTTAGAAGTTGTCTTTCTGCACTAATATATCACTGCCCGGTGCCCCATCCCTGTTTATCCACAAGAGAGGACACAAGGACAGTGGTGCACGTAAGTGTTGTCTCTCTTACCTTCATGATAATCTCATTGGTCTTTCCGTGGGCCACTGCATCTGGTTTAATGATGGCCAAGGTACAGGTCCTCTCTGATGAAACTAAGCCAAAAATGGTACTGTCAGATGCTGATGTTTGAGGCTCTCGGGAGTCCATCCACAAAAAAACAATGCTACACAAGGCTCCACTGCACCAAGTGCTAGGCACAGGCTTGGGCTGTCAGGGTTCCCTCCCCTGGCCTTAGTTTTGCCCCTGCAAGCCTGGACTCTGGTGGATGTACCAGTCTGACTCCAGACCTCAACCTCCATCTTGCTGCAAGGAACAGAGACTCAGAGACTGGCTCAATGAACCTGGCCAGGTGGCGGAGGAGGAACATGGGGGAAGGGATTGCTGAAAGACTGCTTGGGACCAGAAATCCAGAAACAACTGAAATGAGTTGGCCTGGGGAGTGGTAAGAAGAGGTATAGGAGAAAGTGAGAGGGGGCCTGGAGCATGGGCAACACAGACCTGGCTGCCCTCATCCCTTCCTGTCACCCTCTCATGATTCCCACCCAGCCTCTACCTGCTGTCTGCCACATGCTCTCCTTTCACTCTACTGGCTCCTGTGGCTCTGCTGCTTTTTCCCTTTCCTGCTGTGTAGCTAAAAATGGCTCCTCCAGGCCCTGAGTCTGCGTGATGTTCCGTGACTTCTCAGCTCCAGCACATACTACCAGATTGCAGTTTCAGTAGTCTCTGTCTCCATTCAAGTTCTCCTGAGAGAAGCCAGATTGCCCCACTCATTAGTCTGAGCCAAGGTACCAGCCCTAGCTCACTGGCCAGTCTGCTGATTGACTGCCCTTGAATGAGCATCCACCAGTCCAATTAGCTATGACAATGAAGGAGGTGCCACAAGATCAGAGTCCACTGCTGAGGCCCACAGGAGCTATAAGGAGGTCTGTGTCTAGTCCATGAGCCCACCTCCATTGTCCTCCTGCTTATATAAACTTGTCTTTGGTGAGTTATCTACACTCTCGACAGAATCATCATTCTCTATCACCTATTTTGTTTCTCAGCTTTTACATTGGTTGTGTTGAAATGAAACAAGACAGTATCTACATTTAAAGAGGGCTTTCTACTCTGAAAAATCTCAAAAACATGTATTGCAAAAAGTATAAATCATTTCAAGCAACAAATCTATTATTTCTTTCTGAGATTACTATTTCTAATATATCATGAATATTTAGATTTTAAGATACTTTTACAATAAATTCCATTATAAATTGATTAATGAGATCACCTAAAAGTAGAGGAAGAAGAGAAGAGACCAAAGCAGGGGCCTGGGGCGTTCCAGGTTAAAAGGACAGCACAAGAAAAGAAGCCAATGAAGGAGAAACTGAGGAGAGGCCAGAGACATAGAAGGAAAACAAGAAAAGTCATCACATCTTAGAAACTGGAAGAGAAGGTTTTGAGAAGGAAGACACTGTGAACATCATCTCATTCTGCAGAAAAATCCCATAAGATATGCACTGGAAACTACCTGTTGGTGCCACCAATGAGCACCATTTCAGGGAGTAGTGAGCACAGAGGCCAGATTGCAATAGGTCGGGGCACGAATGGAAAGTGAAGGTGGCTTAGAGTGTGGACAAAGGAAGCTGTGAATAAGAGGCTGTGAACAAGGCTGTGAATAAGAGGAAGACTAAGGGCAAGGGCAGTATCTTAGATGGTTTTCTAGGTGGGAGAGACTTGATTTGGGAGGAAATCATGGAGGAGGGAAGAAAGAGGAGATAATACAACAGGGGAGTAACAGAAGTCTCCTGCAGAATCACAATCACTGATTTTCTCTTCACCCTTGAAGTTTTCTTGCTGTCCTAAACTGTGCCTTCTCCCTTGTTAGAATCCAACTCAAACAATTCTTATTCTCCACACATGTAAAAACAGCCTTTCTATTTCAAGCAATGATTTAAAAAATCTTCCTCCTCTTATCAACACAGTTCCTGAGCCTAATTCTGGTTTTCCCTTGTGTCTCGGTTACCACCAAGAGACACCATCCCAGCAACAGCCTTCCTAACTCTTAGCTTTTCTTCATTCTGTCAGGCCAAGTTTTCTCATATGAAAGGTTCAGGAAGTACTGTGATACCCAGGAGTGTAAAGTCTGCAAGTTAATATTTGGGGAAGATAGGGAAGAGGTTGTAGGGCTCTGGGAAGGAAAGGTTTTCTAATGTTTAAGAAAGAGGTGAAAAAAGAGGCTTGAGCTTTTTTAAAAAGTTCAAATAAGGACTAAGGAAATACCAGCATCATTGCTTTCAATTTTTGGTGTTGCTTCCCTCCATTTTATTACATGCAGCTTTTTTTGATGCCTGGTAATTGCCATGAAAGTCACACCTGTTATATTTGAACATAATCAAAGCGCTGTGTAATGGGCCCAAAATGCTGTTAAAGATCAGAAGAGAGATTTGACACAGTATGTTTGAAGTCCAGTGACTGGAGACAAAATATTTTATGGTTAAGCTTCCCAGAATCATTCCAATTTATCTAGCAACAGGCTTCTCAATAGAAACTATATAGGCCAGGAGGCAGTGGAATGACATTTCCAAAATACTGAAAGAAGAAAAAAAAAAATGGTCATCCAAGAATACCATACCCAGCAAAGCTATCCCTCAAATATGAAGTCGGGCCAGGCGTGGTGGCCCAGCACTTTGGGAGGCTAAGGTGGGCAGATCATCTGATGTCAGGGGTTCAAGACCAGCCTGACCAACAGGGCAAAACCCTGTCTCTACTAAAAATACAAAAAAAAAAAAAAAAAAATTAGCCAGGTGTGGCTAAAAGTGGCTCCTCCAGGCCTGGAGTCTGCATGATGTTCCATGACTTCTCAGCTCCAGCACATACTACCAGATTGCAGTTTCAATAGTCTCTGTCTCCATTCAAGTTCTCCTGAGAGAAGCCAGATTGCCCCACTCATTAGTTTGAGCCAAGGTACCAGCCCTGTCTCTACTAAAAAAAAAAAAAAAAAGCACGTCTGTAAACCCAGCTACTGGGGAGGCTGAGGCAGCAGGAGAATCACTTGAACCCAGGAGGCAGAGGTTGCAGTGAGCCAACATCATGCCACTGCACTCCAGCCTGGGTGACAGAGTGAAACCCCATCCAAAAAAAAAAAAAAAAAAAGAAAAGAAAAAAAGAAGAAGGAGGAATGCCTAAGGAAATCTTTAATCTGAAACAAAAAAATACTAATATGCAAAAAGAAGACATTTGAGGTATAAAATCCACTGTTGGCCAGGCACAGTGGCTCACGCCTATAATCCCAGCATTTTGGGAGGCCAAGGCAGGTGGATCACTCTAGGCTAGGAGTTCAAGACCAACCTGGCCAACATAGTGAAACCCCATCTCTACTAAAAATACAAAAATTACTAGCTGGGCATGGTGGCACATGCCTGTAATCTCAGCTACCCAGGAGGCTGAGGCATGAGAATCACCTGAGCCCAGGAGGCGGAGGTAAGCTGAAATCGCACCATTGCACTCCAGCCTGGGTGACAGAGTCAGAGTGAGCCAAGATCATGCCACTGCACTCCAGCTTGGGTGACAGAGCTAGACTGTCTCAAAAAAAAAAGAAAAAAAAAAAAGAGCCAGGTGCCGTGACTCATGCCTGTAATCCCAGCACTTTGGGAGGCTGCAGGAGTTTGAGACCAGCCTGACCAACATGGAGAAACCCCGTCTCTACTAAAAATACAAAATTAGTCAGGCGTGGTGGTCCATGCCTGTAATCCCAGCTAACTGGGAGGCTGAGGCAGGAGAATCTCTTAAACCCGGGAGGCGGAGGTTGCAATGAGCCAAGACTGTGCTAGCTTGGGCGACGAGAGTGAAACTCCGTTTCAAAGAAAAAAAAAAAAAAACCAAGACCCAACTATATGCTGCCTACAAGAAACCCACTTTACCTATAAAGACACATAGACGGAAAGTGAAGGCATGGAAAAAGATATTCATTGCAAGTGGAAATGAAAAGAGAGCAAGATAAACTATACTTAGATCAGAGAAGGTCATTATATAATGATAAAGGGGTCAATTCATCAAGAGTAACAATTATAAATATCTACCCAACACCAGAACATCCAAGTATATAAAACAAACATTAATAGATCTAAAGGGAAAGATAGACTGCAATACAGTAATACAATACTGCAATACATAGGGACTTCAACACCCTACTGTTAGTAATGGACAGATCATTCAGACAGAAGACAAACGTCATAGTCAAACTGCACACTAGACCAAACAGACCTAACTATATTTACAGAAGAGTTCACCCAAGTGCTACAGAAAAGACATTATTTTCATCAGCATGTGCAATATTCTCCAGAATAGAGCAAATTATAAGCCACAAAGCTAGTCACAACAAATTCAAAAAAGCAGAAATTGTATATATCTTTTCTGACCACAATAAAATAAAATTAGAAATCAATAACAAGAGGAACCTCAGAAACTACACAAACACATGAAAATTAAACAACATAATCATGAACAACAAATGTATCAGAGAAAAAATTATAAAGGACAATTTTTAATTTCTTGAAACAAATGAAAATGGAAATACACATCCAAAATCTATGGGATACAGTAAAAAGAGTAATACAGTAAAGGGGAAGGTTGTAGCAATAAATGCTTACATCAAAAAAATAGGAAGATTTCAAATAACCTAATGATGCACCCAAATGCACTAAAAAGGCAGTAACAAACCAAACCCCCAATTAGTACTGGGAAGCAAACAATAAAGATCAGAGCAGAAATAAATGAAATTGAGCCTAAAAAATACAGAAGGTCAATGAAGCAAAAAGTTGATTTTTTGATAAGAAAATCAATGAACCTTTAGCTAGACTAAGAAAAAGAGATGACCCAAATAAATAAAATCAGAAAGAAAATGGAGACATAACAACTGGAAACTACAGAAATATAGAGAATCATTAGACACTGTTATGAACAACTACACACCAACAAATCTGAAAACCTAGAAGAAATAGATAAATTCCTGGATACGTGCAATCTACCAAGATTGAACCATGAAGAAATAGAAAACCTCAACAAACCAGTAACAACAAGATCACAACTGTAATAAAAAGTCTTCTGCCAAAGAAAATCTCAGGACCTGATGGCTTCAATTCTAAATTCTACCAAAAATTTAAAGAATAACTGATACCAATTCTACTCAAACTCTTCAAAAAAATTTGAAGAGGAGGGAAAACTTCCAAACTCATTCTGTGAGGCCAGAATTGCCCTGATAGCAAAACCAGACAAGGACACAACAAAATGAGAAAACTAGGCCAATATCCTTGATGGACATAAATGCAAAAGTCCTAAACAAAGTACTAACAAACCAACTTCAACAACACATCAAAAAGATCATTCACTATGTGGGATTCATCCCAGGGATGTAAAAAGGGTTCATCATATGTAAAGCAATATATGTGGTTCATCAAATCATTAACAGAACCAAGAACAAAAACCGTATAATAATTCCAATAGATACTGAAAAACCATTCAACAAAATTTGAATTCCCTTTATGATAAAAAACCTTCAAAACACTGGGAATAGAAGGAACATACCTCAAAACAATAAAATCCATGTATAACCCACAGCAAACATCATAGTGAATGGGGAAAATTTCAAAGCCTTCCCTCAAAGATCTCGAATAAGACAAGGATGGCTGCTTTTACCACGTTAATTCAAAGACCCCACCAAAAAACTGTTAGAACTGATAAATGAAATCAGTAAAGTTGCAGGATACAAAAGCAACATACAAAAACCAGTAGCATATGTATATACCAACAGCAGACAATCTGAAAAAGAAACCAAGAAAGCAATCCCATTTACAATAGCTACAAAGAATATAAAATATGTAGAATTCGATTTAACCAAAGATGTGAAAGCTCTCTACAAGGAAAACTATGATACACTGATGAAAGAAATTGAAGAGGATACACACACACACAAATGGAAAGATATTCCATGCCATGCTGATGGATTGGAAGAATTAATATTGTTAAAATGTTAATAGTGCCCAAGGCAATTTACAGATTCAGTGCAATACCTATCGAAATACCAGTGACATTCTTCACAGAAATAGAAAATATAATCCTAATATGTATATGGAACCACAGAAGACCCCAAATAACCAAAACCATACTAAGCAAAAATAACAAACCTGGAGGAATCACACGACCTGACTTCAAATTATACTACAAAGCTATAGTGATCAAAACAGCAAAATACTAGCATAAAAACAGACATATAGAATAGCGAACCCAGATGTAAATCCACACATTTATAGCCAGCTCATTTTCAACAAAGGTGCCAAGAACATACAATGGTGAAAGGACATTCTCTACAATAAATGGTGGTGGTTAAACTGAATAACCATATGCAGAAGAATGAAACTACACCCCTATTTCTCACCATATACAAACACAAAATCGAAATAGATGAAAGGCGCAATTCTAAGACCTGATACTATGAAACTGTCAGAAGAACATTGGGGAAATGGTCCAGGATATTGGTCTGAGCAAAGGTTTTTTGTGTAAGACCTCAAAAGCATAGGCAACAAAAGCAAAAATAGATAAATGAGATCACATCAAGCAAAGAAGCTTCTGCAAAGCAAAGGAAACAATCAACAAAGTGAAGAGACAACCCACAGAGTGGGAGAAAATATTTGCAAACTATCCCTCCGACAAGGGATTAATAACCAGAATATATAAGGAGCTCAAACAACTCAAAAGCAAAAAGAAAATCTGATTTTTAAATAGGCAAAAGATCTGCGTAGACATTTCTCCAAAAAAAGACATAAAAATGGCCAATGGGTATATGAAAAAGGTGCTCAATATCAGTAATCATCGGGGAAATGCAAATCATAAAATCACAATAAGATTTCATCTCACCCCAGTTAGAATGGGGACTATAAAAAAAAAAAAAAAATAAAAAAAAAAAAAAAAAAAAAAAGGGAGGCTGGGTGCAGTGGCTCACGTCAGTAATCCCAGCACTTTGGGAGGCCAAGGCAGGTGGATCACCTGATGTCAGGAGTTCGAAACCAGCCTGGCCAATGTGCTGAAACCCAGTCTCTACTAAAAATACAAAAATTAGCCAGGTGTAGTGGCGGGTGCCTGTAATCCCAGCTACTCAGGGAGGCTGAGGCACCAGAATCGCTTGAACCTGGGAGGCAGAGGTTGTAGTGAGCCAAGATCGTGCCACTGCACTCCAGCCTGGGTGACAGAGGGAGACTCCGTCTCAAAAAAACCAAAACACTAAAAAGAGAATAATGAGGCGAGGATGTAGAGAAGGGGGAATGTTCATATACTGCTGGTATGAATGTAAATTAGCACAGTCACTATGGAAAACAGTATGGAGGTTCCTGAAAAAACAAAAATAGAACTACCAGATGATCCAACAATCCCACTACTATGTATATATGCAAAAGAGAGGAAATCAATATATTGAAGAGGTATCTGCACTCCCATGTTTATTGCAGCAATATTCACAATAGCCAAAATATGCAGTCGACTTAAGTGCCCATGAATGGATGAATAAAGAAAATGTGGTGTATGTACACAAGGGAATATTATTCATTAATTAAAATGATTAAAATCCTGTCATTTGTGGCAACATGGATAGAACTGGAGATCATTATGTTAAGTGAAATAAGCCCCCAAGCAAAGAACAACAAATAGCACATGTTCTTACTCATATGTGGGAACTTAAAAAAATGGATCTCGTGAAGGTAGAGAGTAGATTGGTGATTACCAGAGGCCAGGAAGTGGAGAGAGAGGGATGAAGAGAGGTTGATTAATAGGTACAATCTACAGATAGAAGAAATCAGACCTGGTATTCAAGAGATCAGTAGGGTGACTATAGTTAACATTAATCTATTGTACATGTCAAAATAGCTAGAAGAAAATAATTTGGATATCCATAGCATAAAGAAACGATAAATATTTACGGTGATGGATATCCCAATTACCCTGATTTAATTATATGTATGTATCAAATTATCTCATGTACTCTGAAAATATGCACATCTATTATTTATCAATTTTTATAAGAAAATTATGAACCATTAAAAAATCTTCTCAGAGTTCAGATTGCTCAATAAACTGAATACTCATCTATTTTAAACACACATCAAATCTGAGTCTGCTTTGCCTTTTTCCCTTGCTCATTGGTTCTGCACTCACCCATGTCCTCATCTTCACCATTGTTCTTTCCATGGGAAACACATTCATCTTCATCAGAAAGAGCCTCATCTTTAATCTAGTATAAATTGGTCATTAAAAGAAAGTAGTTAGCTAATTAACATTACCACTAACACCTTCAAAAACCTGTAGAGACTAAAAAAAGCAAAGCTCCAAAACACAGAGAAAAAAAATGTCAAAGTTATCAGTCTTGGAAACTTTACAAGACCCTTTTTGGTGGCTGGGTGCTGGTGTGGGGCTGACAGAATTAGAATACAAGAAAAGCCAAGCTTATCTTAAGTTTTAGAGTCTACCTCTTTTCATACGCATTAAGTAGAGATAGTTGATAAGAAGACAAAGAATTGAAATGTAAGTAAATATTAAGAGATTGACTATGCAGTACAGAGAAGCAGTAAAGAGAGATAATATTCCCTTGGAGAAGGCACATGAAAATATTAGCATTTGCAGTTTTCTTTCGGGAGGGAAAATGGCCAGGTTTCTTGGGAAAAATATGATTTGATTCTAATCCATTCCATAAAAATGGAGCTTTGCTATTTGGAATTTAATAAGAAAACTTGAACAATGAACATGGAATGGTGTGGAGTCACATTTGCCAGATGCTCAAAGCACCAGGAAATACCTCTCTACCTATGGTATGTTGATTTTTCAAAGGCAGCCAATTATTTGAAGAACTGGCAGTTGATGTTATCATGGAAATAATTTATCAAAATCACAAGCTATGCTGATTCTATTTCTCATGTTAATGACAGACCTTGATTTCTAAGTTAAAGAAATGAGCCCTCTGAGTTCACAAGTAAAACCTTCAGGAATATGAGCCAGTGGGTCACTAGGAGAGATTTCACCTCAAGGCTGAGAGGAGCCCAGGATAGCTGACTTCTCCTATGCATCACTCCATTCTGTAACTTGATTTTCATTTCCGAATTCATTGTTAAGAGTTGAAGTGGGAGATGAAAGGGAAATTGATAAAATAAAGTGCTCTGTATGAAAGAGATGGCTTTTATAAGAAGGTTTCAAAATGCACACATATCACCAGGGCACAGTGCTTGAGGAACAGACCCAGGTGAAACTTTTATGAAGCTGTCCACCAACGGCTCCAGGACAGTCGGGTAAGGGGGATGGGGACTGCTGATCTCTCCTACTAGCGCACTTGTGAGTTAGCTCTTGTAGAAGTGACCTCCAGTTACCACTTTCCGTTCTCTGCCTTCAGCCAGCACTTTCTTTTCGGCCTCCAGCTGGTCTAGGATGGTTTTCTGCAGCAGTGGGGCATTTGCTCCTCTAACCACAGCCACCAGTTCTCCTCCCTAGAATATGTTACAAACAGCATGAAATACTCTTGGCAAATATTAATCTGTTTCAAGAGATGGCGAGAGTGTCTAGGAGTGTGTGTGCCCAAGATCAAGGTCCCTCAACCCCAGGCTCATAGCAGTGTGCTCACTTCTGCTGCCCTCCCTTGGCAGGACGCTCTCAGGTCTGCTTCTAGGATTTTTGTTTGTTTGTTTGAGATGGAGTCTCGCTCTGTCGCCCAGGCTGGGGTGCAGTGGCGCGATCTTGACTCACTGCAAGCTCCGCCTCCCAGGTTCACGCCATTCTCCTGCCTCAGCTTCCCAAATAGCTGGGACTACAGGCACCCGCCACCATGCCCAGCTAATTTTTTTTGTATTTTTAGTAGAGACGGGGTTTCACAGTTATAGCCAGGATGGTCTTGATCTCCTGACCTCGTGATGCGCCCATCTTGGCCTCCCAAAGTGCTGGGATTACAGGCGTGAGCCACCGCGCCCAGCCGGTCTGCTCCTAGTTTTAAATGATTTCTCTTTTTCTGATCTCTACCTTCATGCCACTCCTTTCAAAGCTTCCTTCAGGGTAACCAGCAGTTCATTAAGGGAGGAACAGTACATAGTAAGTTATGAGTGACTAAGTGTGGCTTACACATGACTTACTCATTCAACAAATATTATTGAGCACTTACTATACCAAGCACCAAGGCAGAGGCAAAGAATATAAACATTAAACATGAAAAAACATAGCTGCAGCCTTCATGAATGGGGACTAGAATGGGGAGAGGGATGACTGGACATGCCGAAGAAACAATTACAATACTATAAAATAATTGCTGTAAGTAATACGGAAATTTATAAGTGCTTGGAACTTGGGGCAAGAATTGCCAGCATCATCTGAGATGGTCAGGGAAGGCTTCACAGTCGAGGTGGTATTTGGGATGAACCTGAGTTTCTGCTTTAACTCTTTCAAAAGTCTGTTTGTTTGTTTGTTTGTTTGTTTGTTTGTTTGATGGAGTTTCGCTCTTGTTGCCCAGACTGGAGTTCAATGGCATGATCTCGGCTGACTGCAACCTCTGCCTCCTGGGTTCAAGTGGTTCTCCTGCCTCAGCCTCCTAAGTAGCTGGGATTACAGGCACCTGCCACCAGGCCTGGCTAATTTTTGTATTTTTAGCAGAGACGGTGTTTCGCCATGTTGGCCAGGCTGATCTCAAACTCCTGACCTCAGGTGATCTGCCTGCCTCGGCCTCCCAAAGTGCTGGGATTACAGGTGTGAGCCACCGCGCCTGGCCAAAAGTCTCTACGTTTGTACTCACAAAGAAATGAATCTGGAGAGGGAGAAGTTCACATAGAGTGGGTCCTCCTTCCATTTCCATCCCATCCCTTAATGGACCACCATGGGGTTGAAGATTGTGGCCCATGTTCCCATACAGCCAAGTAAGATTTATGCTTTAATTGCTATGGGCTCAGGCAATTAAGCCATTGTGGTCGCATTTCTGCAGCTGAGCTCTGATGTCAAGCGTGTCTGGGGCATGCTCATCTCCGAGCTCCTCCCTGCTTCTCCCTCTTTTCCTCCCAATCATGTTATGTCATGTAAGTTCAGTCTCCCTACTAAAATCCAAAGCTCAAATAATGTTTTATCATAAGTTTCCAATTTGTAATACTTGCAGTGCTGAGGCCAGGAGGCTGAAGTTTTCAAAATTGAACAACCCTAGCCTGGTGTTCGGAGACCTGGTTGAGTAGATCCTGGTATTCCTGACTCTACAATGAGGGGGCTGGTCTGAGTGAGGAGGAATATCGATCCATTGCCATCAGAGCCTGGCAGGTGGCCTAAACCTGGGAAGCCAAGTGTGAAACAGTGGGCCCTTAGGGGCATGGAGCTGGACCATGGATGTCACACCCAAGGACATCCAAATTATATTTTCAAAACACTGGGCCACTTGACTTTCCTCAATAGTCCCTCTCATTTCTAACTTTCTGTAAACCTATCTTCACATTTTATGATTACATAAGGGTGAATGAAGAGCTTGTCTGCCCCATAAAGGAGTATCTATTTTTACTAAAAAGTCCCCTTTATGGAGCAAAGGATAGAAATCTTGAAACCCTGTGCTCTGAGAGTGAAGCCTCCAGTCTAGAGCATTCATGGGCCAAAAAGGAGCATGTACATTTGAGTGACTGGTACTCTCTTCCCGTGTACAGCAAGTCAGGAAGGCTGCCCCAGCACCGTGGCCACCAGGGTGCTGTGTCATTCACCTCCTTGGGCGCAGGGCCCTCAGGCCACCATCCTAGTCAACAGCTTGTATCACCACTTCGACTTGGGGGTGGGGGTGTCTGTATGTAGCCAACATCATAAAAAAAGACTGGGAGGCATCAGAGAAAACAGCATCACTTGTTTGAATCTGTGAGGCCTCTTGGTGGTTCCCATTAATTCTCCCAAAGATAATTAATGTCAGTGAGATGCTTCTATTTTGAACTCTAATGATGTGCAATTGTCAAATAGTTCTGGTTCTGAAAATGTACTTACTGCATAAAACAGAAAGGTGGGCTCGCACTTCCCTCGGTACTTTTCGAGGACATCAAGACGATCTGCCTCTGCCTAAAGAAAACCACTATCAGCAGCTACCCTGGGTGCAGGGGGTGCAGGGCCCGACTGATCGGTGGGAAACCACACAGGGAACTGAACACCCCCAGGACTGACTTCCCCAGGTGGAGCCCCGATTTGCTCTCATGCTGTTCCTGCTAATCAGAGCTGTTCTATAAAATTGCAGACATGTACTCTCTTGAAGAATCAAATGAGGAGGAAGCAAGAGTATCTCCTGCCCCACCCAGCTACTGTACCAGTCCAAGGGAGCGCTACTGGCTAATGTCCTTCTGCAGCCCTGACTGACAACCGAGGTGAAGGTCCTCAGGCACCGACTTCATTGTCTGAGAAACCTGCTACACATGGGCATAAGAGATCCCCCACGCAAGCCCTTCTACAGCACACTCCCTATGGAAGCACCAAGACTGACTGCCAAAGGAAGAACTGCAAAGTCCCTGAAGTCCAACTTCTTGAGTGATTAGTGTAAGTTATATTTTCTCCTGTCTTCACTGCCTATGAACCTCAAACCCATGCAGCATATCAACAGTGTCTCTTGAATACTTCTCTAGAATTTATTCCCATTTCCATACATTCATCCAAATAAATATTTGCTGTAAGTTCCCCTTTATGGAGCAGAGGATGGAAATCTGAAAGTGACATTTCAGTCAACAGTGTTCACAAGCCAAGAAGGAGATGCGGCTGGGGTGGTGGCTCACACCTGTACTCCCAATACTTTGGGATGCTGTGGTGGGAGGATTGCTTGAGCCCGGGAGTTCTAGACCAGCCTGGGTGATATAGTGAGACCTTGCCTCTACAAAAAGTTAAAAAATTAGTGAAGCATGGTGGCATGTGCCTATATAGTCCCAACTAGTTGGGAAGCTGAGGTGGGAGGATCATTTGAGGCTGGGAGGCAAAGGCTGCAGTGGGCCATGATCCCACCACTGCACTCCAGCCTGGGTGACAGGAGAAAGAAAAAAGAAGAGGGAGAATATGCATTTGAGTGATATATATTTCTTCTCTTTATATAGCACCAAGAACTGCTCAAGCCAAGAGTGATACAGGGAGGTGGGGTGGGGAATAGGAACCTTCATAGCTAGAGAAATTAGAAAGTATCATGACAGTATCAACAAAAAGTCCACACTGATTCCTTTTTAATGATCTGGGAAAGGCCACTCTCACACTTCTCCTTCCTGACTCTTTTAAATTTTTAAATTCTTTTTACAATGTTGTATGACTGTTGGATGAGAGAGAATCTTACTAATGCAAAGTGCAGAAGGTCCAGGCCGACCTCGATCCTCATCTTCTGGAAGAGGCTCACCACAGGTTTGCAGGGGCCACACCAGCCTTGATAGACATCAACAACTGTGTGGAACCAAGAAGCAGGAACATTCAGTAGACACCAGCGCCCACCACACCAGGCACAATTTATACCTGTGCATTCTAACCCCCGGCAAATGGACATTCATTTGCAGGGATATCTAATGGTTAAAGGGATTTACTGTCTCATGAGATTATAAGCAAGTATGGAAACACAGCTAGCCCTCATTCTTATGAACTTGGTATACTGAATTCTAAATACAGTATAAGTATAGCAGAAAATAATTTTCTTAACATGGCTCCTTTATCTTAAGGGTTCTTCAGGCTACATTCAGGGTTAGGCCTAACACAGGGTGGCCCTCAATGATATTGGAATTAGACTGAAACTGTCTATTCTAAAAAGGAGAGGTCACTCACTGTAGGTGACCCAGCAGCACACAATTGACTTTTATGTAATCCTTGGATAACAAACACAGGTTTGACCTTTTCTTCTGATGAATTAAAAGCCACTTTCTTTGGGTGGAGCAGAGTTTTATTTACTTTAGAAAAATCAACATTTTTCTCCCAGAAAGTGAGCCTGATAGAGCGCTAGAGAGAAACTTGGATACCTTTTTCTTCTTTAGTCCCAATCTATAGTACATGTCAGGGCTGGATGTAGGGGAACCCTCTCATCTGAGTGTTGTGAACCACACGATCTACAGGAAGCTAAGCAAACCAAGCCAACTCCCATGTACTGGATTTGTGCAGGACCTGCGCCACACGACCATGAAGCGGCAGCAAGGGCTAGATGGTGACATACCAGTGGCCATATTTTAGAGGAGGGATATCTGCCAAAAGGCTTCAACACTCCCAGAGTTCATGCCTGTTCCACACAGGTGAGCATTTCGGTTCAACCGCTAGAGTAGCATAGTCACAGGGAGATCGTGTCAAAATTGCTAATAATTGATTAACTCTGTCAATTTTAATAGCATGCAATTTGTGAGTTTACTTATCACAGATTCACATTTCAAAATTTTCCCATCAAGTGAGAACTATTAATATAATACAATATAAATTGTCATGACTAAAGTTAGTATAGAGACTGGTGGCACTGTACTAACACTGTTCTGTACTAACCAGGCTTCCCATGAAGAGGTGACTTGCACTGGGCATTGTAGAGAGCCCAAGCTTGGATGGGCAGAGAGGGAGACTGTGGTGCAAAGGATGGGCAGCCAGGCATAGGTGGCAGACTCAGGGACCCCTGGGCAGCCTGCTGGACCAGACCTGCCTGAGGTGGTGTGGTAGGAAGTGGTGGCAGGGATCACTGGAGGAATCTGGAATGTGGGGCTTGAGGAGCTCTATCCTGAATCACTAGGCAACGAGGATTCACAGTAAGTATTAGAGAGAAGAGGGAGCTAATATCTTGGACTTGCCTGCATCCAGAATTGTAAGAAATAAATTTCTGTTCTTTATATACCACATATCTGTAGTGTCCTGTTACAGTAGCATAAACAGACTAAGCTATTCTGCTTTAGCTGCAAGAGGGCAGGTGCACTTTGCTTTTCTCTAAAAAGCTCAGTGAGATGGATATCATTATTGCACTATCGAGATGAGGAAACTGAAGTTCAAAGAGGTGAAGTCATGGACCTAAGGTAAGAAAGCAAATTCTCAAGCAGTATAGCTTAGTCCATTTATGCTGCTGTAACGGGACACTACAGACTGGGGCAGTTTATAATGAAAATAAACTTATTTCTCATAGTTCTGGAGGCTGGCAAGTTTGGTTGTCAGATAAGGGCTGCATCCCTCTGGAGGAGAATTATACTGTGTCCTCACATGACGGAAGTCAAGGGCAAGAGGAATAAACTCCTTCCATCAAGCCCTTTTATAAGGGCACTTAATGCCACTCATGAAGGGCACTACTCCCCTTTTAAAGGCCCCACCTCTTAAAACCATTACTTTTGACATTCAGTTTCAACACTGAATTTTGAAGGGGGACACATTTAAACCACAGTACAGCAGAATCAAGTTTTATTTTATTTTATTTTTGAGATGGAGTCTGGCTCTGTTGCCTAGGCTGGAGTGCAGTGGCCGAATCTCAGCTCACTGCAAGCTCCACCTCCTGGGTTTACGCTCTTCTCCTGCCTCAGCCTCCTGAGTAGCTGGGACTACATTAGCTGGGACTACAGGCGCCCGCCACCTCGCCCGCCTAGTTTTTTGTATTTTTTAGTAGAGACGGAGTTTCACCGTGTTAGCCAGGATGGTCTCGATCTCCTGACCTCGTGATCCTCCCGTCTCGGCCTCCCAAAGTGCTGGGATTACAGGCTTGAGCCACCGCGCCCGGCCAGAATCAAGTTTTAAATCCTGTGTTGCCTGATGCCATAGCCTATGCTCTTTCAACTGCTCCAGGGAAGAAGCAAGATGCATAAATTCAGCAGTGTTCATTGGTTCAGCTAAGTAGCACAATTTTGCAGAATGTGAGAACCCAAGCTGGGTATAGGAGGAATGAGGAAGCCAGACACACGGGTGGCAGAGGGGATAGAATGAAAAGAATGTAGGCAGAATACTAGGGATGAAAATGAAGACAGTGTGGAAAGGACTTCACCTTTGAGCCTGGCAGAGAAAAAGAACTAGCGAGGGGTGGGGAGAGATTGTTGGAGGGGAAAGGAGAACAAACTCAACTCTAACCAGGCTGGGTTTTCAGTACCAACCAGAAAATCTAAGACAAGTGATCACAAAGGCAACCAGACATCCAAGCAGGAGAGTGGGATTTGGGTTCCACAGCATCCAGGTAGAGGATAAAGTTCTGGGCTTTCCTGAAGACAAGAGTTTCACAATTGACAGATTTTTTTTTTTTTTTTTTTTTTTTTTGAGACGGAGTCTGGCTCTGTTGCCTAGGCTGGAGTGCAGTGGCCGAATCTCAGCTCACTGCAAGCTCCACCTCCTGGGTTTACGCTCTTCTCCTGCCTCAGCCTCCTGAGTAGCTGGGACTACAGGCGCCCGCCACCTCGCCCGCCTAGTTTTTTGTATTTTTTAGTAGAGACGGAGTTTCACCGTGTTAGCCAGGATGGTCTCGATCTCCTGACCTCATGATCCGCCCGTCTCGGCCTCCCAAAGTGCTGGGATTACAGGCTTGAGCCACCGCACCCGGCCCACAATTGACAGATTTTAATTTATTTTTTTATTTCAGCCTACTACAGTTATGTGGGTGAGGGCCAAAAAGGGCATCTGGGTCAAGCCAGGAAAATGTCCCTGAAGACTTAGAGGGCCCTGTACACAGGCCCACTGAAAAGGGCAGATTTAAATCCCAAAGGAAAAAAGCTGGGGCTCAACTCTCTGTGCTGTATTTGTATTGACAGCGCACCTGCCATTGCTACTAGCTTCTCCCTCCCTCTTGGACGCCCTGGCTCTGTGAGGAGTGGCGGGCACAAAGGCACCTTCACAAAGTTATGGCGGAAGCGGGGATGGGGGGAGGGGGGAGGAAGGAACAGAGAGGAAGTGTTTGATTTGACTCTGAGTGAGAGGAAGCAAAACAGAGAAGCCACATGGAAGGAATGGCAGAGACCAGAAAATGTGTGTGTGTGTGTGTGTGTGTGTGTGTGTATGTGTGCGTCTGTGCATGCATGTGTAGGTCTGAAGGGACTTTGGCATGTTGAAAGCAGGTGAAAATGAGCCAGCAGAAGGCAAGGTTTCCAAGATGCTGGTGGTTTACTTTGGAAGCAAATTTCTGCTGGCTGGAGAGAAAGAGAGAAAAACACATATCTATGTATTTATATGCTCCATATCTATATATTCCTCTAGACTGCCTGATGAGAAGGAGCAAAGAGGAGGTCCTGCTACCTTCAGTCAACAGAGGCCCTTGAACCATTTAGACCAGGCTTGGCAGAGGGTCAGTGCTCACTGGATGTTAGCTACTGTCACATAGGGTGCTTAGCAAGGTGGCTGGCACACGATACATTCTCAAAAAATTAGGGAATGGTGGTTTTTTCACAGTTGTTAAAGAAATGGAAATAATGATTTGTTTCACCTGGAGTCATGTTCCAGTTGCCCAGACAAGACACACGGACAAATGGTTAAGCCTTGGCACCATCAAAAAGACTTTATAATCCCTCAAACAGTAGAGTGTTTGAGGGATTATACTCACACCCACACAACTGAATCAGCATTTATCTAGTACCCACTCAGCCTCAGTCCCAGGCAAGTCTTCTACAGATGTGAGATTAAAAAGCCAACGCTGGCCGGGCGTGGTGGCTCACACCTTAATCCCAGCACTTTGGGAGGCCAGGGTGGGCAGATCATTTGAGGTCAGGAGTTTGCCATCAGCCTGGCCAAGACGGTGAAACCCTGTCTCTACTGAAAATATAAAAATTAGCTGGGTGTGATAGAATGTGCCTGTAATCCCATCTACTGGGGAGGCTGAGGCAGAAGAATCACTTGAACCCCAGAGACGGAGGTTGCAGTGAGCCAAGATTGCACCACTGCACTTCAGTCTGGGTGACTCAGTCTCAAAAAAGGAAAGACAAAGCCAATGCCGTTGTGTTTAGAGTCTAGGAGAAAAGCCATGATGGTCTTTCCCTACAGGGCCACAGCAAGTGGGGTGTGTGCTGGAGGGATCGAGACAGAGACTCACCCCAAGTGCCCTAGGAGCTCCCAGGAGGGACATGACCACACAGAGGTTCCAGAAAGATTTCATATGAGGAAGGTAATTTGGCACTGGGTCAGGAAATAAGAAAGATTTCTACAGTTGGTGATAGGCCATGATATCCCATCTGGCTTGAATGGGCTTAAATGCTGACGTCATTTGGTGGAGGGGGTGGTAATGGGCAAGGCTAAGATCAGATACAAGCACACTGAGCAGGTATATTCACAGAAAAACTGAGCAGGCACACAGAGAGTAATAGAGCACAGAGATATCTGTAGTGAATGAGAACGAGAAGTAAAGAGTGGGTGACAGCAGGTGGTAGGCAGCCTCTCAGATGTCTCTAACGATCCCCACCTCCTGGTCCTCATGTACTTGTGTAATCCCCTGCCCTGGAGTGTGGGCTGGACCTAGTGACCAGCTTCTAATGAGCAGAGTATGGCAAAAGCAATGGGATATCACTCTCAAGATTAGGCTAACAAAAGGCTGTGACTTCCAACTTGTACCCTCTCTTAGAGCTCTGTCCTGGGGGAAGCAAGTTACCAAGTTGTGAGTAGCCTCATGGAGAAATCAATGGCAAGAAGTTAATGTCTCTGGCCAACAGCCAGTGAGGACTTGAATCCTTCCTACCAACAGCCTCATGAGTGAGCTTGGAAGTGGATCTTCTTAGGTCTGCCAGTAGCCACACAAAAGAGCTTGGAAGCAAATCTGCTCCTCGTTGAGCCTTGAGATCCCGTCTGACACCTTAACTACCATGGTGAGACACTCTGAGCCAGAGCTAGCCAACTAAGCTGTACCTGAACTCCTGACCCACAGAAACTGGGATAATCAATGTTTGTTGTTTTAAATCACTAAGTTTCTGGGTAAATTGCTAAGCAGCAACAAATAACTGGTGCCAGGAGGATGGGGATGAGGAGGCCCATAGACAGTGGCCTGCTGTTTCCTAATGACTGCAGTCCCAGGTTCAAGTCCCAGTGATGCCTGGCTCGCCTTCCATCCTTTGAGTTCCAGGAGATCCCTGTATTCCCTCCTATGCATTCTCCTTTAGTGCCTGAGGTAATTAGAAGAGGTTTCCTGTTACTTTTAACACCAAACAACCCTGAGTACTGACTCCTTTCCTGAACTGAATTTACTGATGTTCAAGCCACACACACACACACACACACACACACACACACACATCATCTGTTTTTTTATGAGGTTCAAAGTAATAGGAAAGTAATGTTCATTGCAGCCCTTTTCTTCATGGTTCATCACACCATTTAATAATTTAGAAAAGAATGGATCTAAAAAGTTATTTTACTTTGAATTACCAGTTAGTCCTTTGGAACTGAGCATTTCCTCCCAAAGCTCTTGGGTGCTGATGTTGACCTAAAGCCAAAGAGGATCAAATGCTGTATTACTGAGGGCTCAGGCAGGGAAACAATTCAATCTATTTGCTCTAGATTTCTATCTTTCTATCTCTGAAATACTTACAAGTACAGTTCAAGTTATCCTCTCCCCCGTCTTCTTTTCTCCTTCCTTTTCTCACTCCTTCCCTACCCAGAAAAAAACACTATCCTAAGAATAATGTGTACTAGTCTCAGGCATTTAAAAAATAATTTTACATGTTATTTGTCCAGGAACAATATATAAGTTGTTTTTGTGCCCTTAAAATGTACATGAATGTATCAAACTGTAGGTCTCATTTTGAAATTTGTGTTTTCACTTAGTATCAGAATTAAGTTGAATTTATTGCCATTCACTCACATTTTTTTTCTTATCCACAGAGCTCTGGTTTTATAAATATAAAATACAAGGAAAAATACATATTATCCCTCTTCAGTAACGTAAAAATTTTTTTTTTTTTTTTTTTTTTTGAGATGGAGTCTGGCTCTGTCACCCAGGCTGGAGTGCAGAGGCTCAATCTCAGCTCACTGCAACCTCTGCCTCCCAGGTTCAAGCGATTCTTATGCTTCAGCCTCCTGAGTAGCTGGGATTACAGGCATGTACCACCACACCTGGCCATTTTTGTATTTTTAGTTGAGACCGGGTTGGACCATGTCGTCCAGGCTGGTCTCGAACTCCTGACCTCAAGTGATCTGCCCACCTCAGCCTCCCAAAGTGCTGGGATTACAGGCATGAGCCACAACGCCTGGCCAATAGTAAACATTTCTGTATAATGTTTTTTACTGTGAAATAATTTCAAACTTACAGAAAGTGTGCAAGTACAGTATAAAGATTTAGGGTTTTTTTTTTTTTTTTTTTTTAGGTATTTGGAAGTAAATTACAGCTTGTTATCTCATTACTCCTGAATATATTATTCCTATGTAACACAATACAATAATCAAAATCAGGGGAAAAAAACACTGACATATTGTGAACATTTAATCCTTAGATAGAGTACAACTTTTCCTGTTTATCCCATAATGTCCTGAGTAGCAAAGGAGCTAATCAGAAACGTGTGCTAGATTTATTTGTCAAGTCTCTTTAGTCTGGAATAGTTCTTTAGTCTTTCTCTTCTTTTCACAATGTTGACACTTTGGAAAATGACATGCCAGGTATTTTGTAGTGTCCCTCAGTTGGGGCATATGTGATGTTTCCTCCTGATTGGATTCAGGCTGTGCATGTTTGGACTGGTTGAAATTGGCTGGACTGGTTGGAGTGTTGGAGAAGCTGAAGATCATTCCTCTCACTACTCCCTAGCAGGTGAGACACAATTTCCATCTGCCTATTACTGATGTTCACTTTGATCACTGGATTAACATGGTCTGCCAGGCCTATTGTCTGTAAAATTATTCCCTTTTTCTTTGTAATTAACATATTTTTGTGGTGAGCTACTTTGAAATAATATAAATTAAAATACCACACAAATTACTACTGGGTTTTTTTGTTTGTTTTTTGAGATGGAGTCTCACTCTGTCACCCAGGCTGGAGTGCAGTGGCATGATCATGGCTCACTGCAACCTCTGCCTCCTGGGTTCAAGCGATTCTCCTGCCTCAGCCTCCCAAGTAGCTGGGATTATAGGTGCCCGCTACCACACCCGGCTAATTTTTTGTATTTTTAGTAGAGACAGGGTTTCACCATGTTGGCCAGGCTGGTTGTGAACTCCTGACCTCAAGTGATCCGCCTGCCTCGGCCTTCCAAAGTGCTGGGATTACAGGCATGAGCCAGCACGCCTGGCCTACTATTGTTCTTGATACAGGTATGCCAAGGTCTATGTCCCTTTAAAAAAGATAGGATGCATTATTGGCAATAAGGGCAAGAAACATGTAACACCTGCTAATCCTCTATTAAAAGCCCCTTTTTTGGCCGAACGTGGTGGCTCATGCCTGTAGTCCCAACACTTTGGGAGGCCAGAAGTTTGAGACTTGCCTGGCCAACATGGTGAAACCCTGCCTCTACTAAAAAAAAAAAAAAAATACAAAAGTTGGCCGGGCGTGGTGGCGCATACCTGTTTTCCCAGCTACTCAGGAGGCTGAGACATGAGAATTGGTGAACCTGGGAGGTGGAGGTTGAAGTGAGATGAGATCGTGCCACTGCATTCCAGCCTGGGCGACAGGACAGAATGAGACTGTCTCAAAAAAAAAAAAGAAAGTCTCTCTTTTAAGGAAGCATACTCCTTACTTTTCTTGTTTCAATGAAAAGTAGAAGAAAAACCCAGAAGAGTCTTCCTGATGCCTTAAATGAAGTAAGAGAGCTGGACTGATATAACCTTGGGCCCACAACTACAGTCCTGAGGAAAGTGATAGAAGCGTTCAGAAGGACCCCCCGCCCCTACCCAGAGGCTCAGACTTAAGTCACCAGCAACTCTCTGTGGCCCACCCCTGTCACGGAGTGAGTCCCACCAGCTCTGGGGCCAGGACTCTGGGCAGTTGAAGAATCTCAGCCCTGGGAGCCAGGCAAGAGCGGAACGGTGTGGGAACTATCCGGACTTCACTAAGCCTTGCATTTGGTAGGGAATGAATAGGGAATGTGTGGCACCTTTTACCCAGACTGTCCCTTGATGTCCTGTGATTTCTGTCTGTCTCAGTTATAAACGGAACCCCGAATAACCTTGCTGAGAGAGAGGACAAGGTTCCTGGGTTGGCCGACTTTAGGCACTGCTTTCAAGGGGTTTACCTTATAGAGAGGTGACCTTTACACAGATGCCTCAGTGTAAGAGGGGAGGGAGGCCACTCCCTCAGCAGGAGGGAGCACTTACTTTGAGTACTGCATTGTACTCAGAGCTCTGAGTAATACACATGAAAAAATAACAACATTGCTAACAAAAGTTATTACCGCCATAGGAGATCTAGGGCATCAACACATGAAATGACCATAATAAGGGGCAATAACATTAGAGACACCACAGACCACATCAGACCAGCCAGGAAGTGTCTAAAGGAGTCTCATCACAGCTCTGCAGGCGTTAAAGGACAGGTATTATCCCTCCTGTCTATGTAAAAGATAATGGAGGCCAGAGGGTTGAGGAAATGAGTCACACAGCTATGAATGGTAGGACCAGTTGCTCAGAATTTACTTCAACCAGAACATTCATATATGAAGCGCTTACTGACTCTAGAATCCTAGAATATCAAGGCTGGAAGAAGGCCCTTAGGGATAATTCACACAACATCCTCATTCCATAGATGGGCAAGCTATGGCCCAGAGAGGGTATGTGATGTAGTCAAAGACACAGTTGGCTATAGAGGACACAAGAACTACATCAGGCCTTCTGACTTCCAGTCTAAAAATCCCACCCCATCCCCCACCCCTCCCAGCCCCAGCATGGGGTACCCTTAGAATGATGCTGCTTTCCCCTTTCCTCTTTTTTAAACCACTAGACTTCTGAAATCCACATGCAAACTGTCCTACCGAGGACAATGAGAGAAAAACCAGATGTCTCAAAATCGCTAAAGCTCTATTATCTAGGAGGCGCTGTAGCCTTAGTATGCATCTTACTGGGACCAGCTGATGATGAGACATTTTAAAGTTTGTTTTAAAATGTTCCCGTGTTACAGATCATCCAGATGATCTCCTTATGACAAAGCACTCTCTCCCAGTTCCAGGGTCTATTCCTGCATGCTTTTACCATCACTTCAGAATCAACCACCGTTTATTGTCCAGAACCAAGAAAAAGAGCAGTTGCTGGCTTCTGAAATCACTTGTCCCACATGCAAATGAAGTAAGGTACTCTATATAACAAATGCCCAGCACATAATATATCTCAAAACATATTTGTTAATAAGTGAAATTTGATGAGAACAGTGGTGGGAAAACTGGGTCTCCACAGAGCACACAGTTACAGACTCATGCCCAAAGTCAAAAGAACCTATACTGTATTCTCTGTGCAAGCTGCAGTTATATTTCAACAACAGTAACAAAATAACGGTCACATCGAATTATGTTGATTCATATTTTCTTGGTTTGTAGTTTTATTTAATGCATGTTTAGGTTTTATGGTTGTATACGCACTATAAATATAAACAGCTTCTACTCAGTTTTGTTTGCATTAATTTTGTTTGCATAAAATTTGTCATCACTGGGGTTCCAAGATAAGTTTTGGCCCTTTAAGACAGAAGGGTACATCACTCAAGTTTGGGAACACTGTCACATACTGCTAGCAAACAAAATGTCACTTTTATACTACAACCCCGCTCCAATCACCCTCGTCTTCCCCGAGCCCAACCCAGAGCTGGAAGCTAGCGCCCCTTGAGGCTTACCTGCAGGGCAATTTCCTTCTTCCTGCTGCCCATGGCTCTGCAAAGAAGACGAAGCCCTGTTACCGCGGCCGTGGGCCGTTCCCCCGCAGCCTCGCGACAAACCGCTGCGTGGATCAGCAAGCCCAGAGCCTCCTTCAGATAAGCCCCCCTCCTATGGCCCCCGGCCCCTTTTTAAGATGCTTCTAACTGGCGGCAAATCAACACACTGACACAAAGTGAACACCCCACGAGGAAGCGGAGCCTGCAGTCCGCGGGCTCGTGGCTCGCCAGGCGGTTTTCTGGGGATCTGCAAAGCCCCCTTCCCACCCCGGAGCCGGCCAGGGGGCTCCAGCAGAGGCCGGAGTCAGTGCGCGGGGCACAGTGCAGCCTGCCGGGCACAGGGTCTCCAGTCGAGGAATTCGAACCAAAAACCGACATGGGACCCTGTCATCCCTGCTGTTCTTATGGATTACTGGGAAACTGAGCCACTGCGAACGACAGGTACACGATCTTCGACGCGCCCGGAGTCACCAACCGAGTCTGCAGCGACCTAGCCGCGGTCGTCATGGCAACCTGGCCCCCCTGCCAGGCCTGCCAGGAAAGCCGGCGGACACGTAAGCCACGCCCACTCTGGGCCCAACGCAGTCTCTTCGCGGAGACTCTGAACCCAGCCAGCGAGAGGCAGGAGGGAGTCCCGCCCCTTGCCCTCCATATCGGACTATGGGAACCCACTCATTGGCTGCAGCGTTTGTCAGCGTCTGGAGGTTTTGAACCCACCAGGCAAAGACCCAGTGCATCTGTGCGTTGCACAGTCGCATCTGTGAATCCCTGCGTCCTTCCTGCCCCGCCTGCCAAGACTGCTGTGCAGCTTTTCTACCGTCACATACCAGTAAAATGTGTGCAAGGTAGGGGGCGTCTCCAGATTTTAAGGGGTCTGCAAGCGTTCTCTTTAAGACAAAGAATGTGAAATTACAAGTTCAAAATTAGATATGAAAGTCAACTGAGACACATACAAAACAGTTACAAACATTGTAGATATTAATCCAACTCTATCAATAACCACTTTAAATGTGAATAACCTGATTACACCAATTAAAAGAGAGATTGTGAGAGTGGATTTCAAAAACAAACAAAGCCCAGTTGTGTGTTATCCACAAGAAAATACATTAAAAGCAAAAAAATAGAGATAGCTATACCAGGCTGACACTAACTAAAAAAATAGCTGAAGTAGCTATGTTAATTTCAAGAAAAGCAGACTTCAGAACAAGGAAGTTTATCAAGTATAAACAGGGACATTACATAAAGGTAAAGGGATCAATTATTTGGGAAGACATAACAATACTTAACATGTATGTACTTAAAAACAGAGCACCGAAATATGTGAGGCAAAAAAAGATAAAACTGCAAGGAAAAATAGGTAAACTCACTATTATAATAGAATATTTTAATACCATTTTTAAAATACCATTAAAATATTTTAATACCATTTTAATACATCCAGCAGGCAGCAAATGAGCAAGGATATAGTTGAACTGAAAAAATAAATCAAATTGATCTAATTGACATTTATACAATACTTAATTCAACAACAGCGGAATATAGATTCTTTCTCAAGCTCACATGGAACATTCACTGAGATAGACCACAATCTAGGCCATAAAACATAGCTTAACAAATTTAAAAGGATAGAACAAAGTATGTTCTCTGACTACAATGGAATTAAACTAGGAATCAATCACAGCTGATGAAAGAAATCTCAAAGATTTAAATAGATGAAGAAATATTCCATGTTCATGGATAGGAAGAATTCATATTGTTAAGATATGAATTCTTCCCAAGTGAAGCATACACCAAATGATTTCCATCCAGGGAGTGCTGATACCCTGCTTAGCCATAAGGTACCCAGCAACCCTCTGTGAAGTACAGGGCGATGGATATACTGAAGACTGAACATCTTCCTACCTGTCATCCTGCCTTCTCCCACTTCAGCTCTGAATCCACCTACTCTTTTCTTGCATTCAGTCCCATGGCAATATTCAGTTCCATGATAATATTGCTCAGAGCCACAGTCACTCCTTAAGACACTGCATTGCAAACTGAGTTGACTAGATGCAAATCATGTTCATTGCCACAAGGTGGTGGTTGTTCAAGCTCTTGAATGTGTGGAATCTCCCTTAGAATTTAGTTTCCAAAATAAAATTCAAATCAGATGCTAAACTCCTCCTGCCAGTGCACGGAAAGATAGTGACATTTATTCTTTCTGAAAGGGTTAAATTTCTTACCATGTGGTCTCTATTACAAAATGTACTCACATCTTTGCTAGGCTAGACCTCAGAAACAAATTTAGGTAAACCACATGTCCCCAGTTTGCCGGGACACCCCCACTTTTCACCTGTTGTCCCCTGCAATTATTAATAGCAACCCCTCTCACTTTCAAAAGTGTACAGTTTGGGTTGGGTGCGGTAGCTCACGCCTGTAATCCCAGCACTCTGGGAGGCCGAGGCAGGTGTATCACTTGAGGTCAGGAGTTCGAGACCAGCCTGGCCAACATGGTGAAACCCTGTCTCTACTAAAAAAAAAAATCAAATAGCCGGGCATGGTGTTGTATGCCTATAATCCCAGCTACTTGGGAAGCTGAGGCAGGAGAATCGCTTGAACCCAGAACACGGAGGTTGCAGTGAGCCAAGATCGTGCCACTGCACTCCAGCCTGGGCGACAGAACAAGACTCCGTCTCAAAGAAAAAAAATGTACAATTTGGACAACATGGAACCTCATCAGTTTTTTCCCAGATGAATCACCTTGGGTCACTCCTGCTTTTAATAAAACTTCCATCTTTTACATATTTTGTGACATAGGTCAATGGTTTTTTTTTGTTTTGTTTTATTTTTTTTCTGTTTTATTTGTTGTTGTTGTTTTTTGAGACAGAGTCTCGCTCTGTCGCCTAGGCTGGAGTGTGGTGGCGCAATGGCTCGGTTCACTGCAACCTCTGCCTCCCGAGTTCAAGCAATTCTCCTGCCCCAGCCTCCCGAGTAGCTGGGACTACAGGCATGTGCCACTACGCATAGCTAATTTTTGTATTTTTAGTAGAGATGAGGTTTCACCATGTTGGTTGGCCAGAATGGTCTCCATCTCTTGACCTCATGATCCACCTGCCTCGGCCTCCCAAAGTGCTGGGATTACAGGCATGAGCCACCGCTCCCAGCTGGGTCAATGTTTTTATTTATTATCCAAAAGTGAGATTTTTTTCCAAATGTATCTATTTTTAATCAGCCCTTCCCTCAGTGATGTACTTTTTTGTTTTATTTTAATGCAAAACCTGCTAACTTTAAGGGCTACTGAGATGTTTTAGAGTTCGAAAGATTAAAAACCAAACTCTTCCTCCAGCAACTCATGTTTATTGCCACAAGGTGGTGGTTTACTCAAAGGAAACCCTTCTGAGACCCAAATTGGACACTAGGAGCATTTTCTTTATCAAAATACTTCAGAACTGATGTGACTCTGTAAAACAAGAATGACCCTTCTCACTTTAAGAGGAAATCATAGACCAAAGCAGGCTGTATTTCCTCAGATACCTTCCCGTTTTTCATCGTAGAAGATAAGAATGTATATACACATCTTCGTCTAACCTGACTCCTCTCTCCTTCCGGGTGTAATGTCTTCTTTTTTCCACAAGTAACAGCAGGTCCCTCCTGTACCTTGCTCTGAGGAAGGCAGCCGGGAGTGGTAGAACTGGGAGCTTTAGGGTCAGACAGATGTGGGCTGGATCACAGGTACACCTACTACCTGTCTAAGCTTGGGTGAAGCTACTTCAGTTTATTCAGTCAGTCTTAGTTTCCTCATCTTTAATTTTTTTTTTTTTTTTAAGAAATGGGGTCTTGTTATGTTGCCAGGTGCCTGGAACTCCTGTGTTCAAGCAGTCCTCCCACTTCAGCCTCCCAAGCAGCTGGGACTACAGGTGCCCACCACCATGCCCAGCTTGTTTCCTCATCTTTAAATAGGGAAATAAGACCTACCTTTCAGGAATGTTGTGGAGAGAGGTAATGTGTTTCAAAATTTCTTGACATTAAAACCAGTATTATTGTTGTTCTTGTAAAGGTATCATGCACCCTTTCCACGGTATAGAAACGTGTTGGGTAGCAGCTTCCCAGTCAAGGATCACAAGCCATAAGTCCCCAGGAGGTTCATCCAAGTTGTTGTGTGGATCAATATTTTAATTCCTTTTTATTACTTTGTATTCCATGGTCTCAGTAGATCACCGTTTGTTTCAAATTAATATTTGAGTGAGATATGAGGTTTTTTATTTCCCCATACAGATTTCTGGTTGCATAAGCACCATTTGTTGAGAAGACTTTCCTTTTCTTCACTGGATTGATTTGATGTCTCTGTCAAAAACCAATTGGTCATATAAATGTGAGTTTCCTTCAGGATTCTCTAGTCCATTCCGCTGATCTAGTTGACCATCCTTATACCAGTACTTGATTACTAGTTGTGTAGTAAGTCTCAAAATCAGGTAATCTAAGTCATCCAGCCTTGCTTTTCTTTTTCAAAATTTATTTGTCTATTTTAAGTTATTTATAAGTCTATTTTAAGTTATTTTAAGTTGTTTACTTTCATACAAATCCTAGAGTCAATCTGTTAATATGTCTTTAAAAATCCTCTTGGAAATTTGATTAAATTGCATTAAACCTAAAGACTGACTTAGGAAGAATTGACATCTTAATAATGTGTAGTCTTCCAGTCCATAAACAGGATGTGTGTTCCATTTATTCTTTAACTTCAGCAATGTTTTGTAGTTGTTGAACCAATCTTGCAAGTCATTTGTATTTATTAATGCTATTATTAATGAAATTGACTTTCAAAATTTATTACCAATTTTGCGCTGCCAGTACATAGAAATACACCTGATTTTTTTATATTGACTTTGTATTCTGAGATCTTGCTAAACTCACTTAATAGTGCTAGTAGTTTCTTTGTTGATTGTGAAGGTAACTGTGAAAACACAAGATAGTGAGCCATAAAATGGAAGCAGCCACTCTGAGCCTACCAACCTGCTTTGGACTGTGTTGCAGTTTCTTCATGTCGTAGTAGTCACTGAAGGTTACAATCAAACTGCTCATCTGCATTGTGAGTCCCTGTGGGGCAGATTGTCCCTGCTACTTCCTAGTGAATCTTTTATAATGAACCTCAGGTTTCCGTCATGACCTGAATGAATGAGCCCTATGCTGCCCACCATTCATGCTTAGTGAGAAGTCAGAGGAGATGACAAGGAGACTTCTACATGTTGTAAAGGAATCTGACCATAGGTCCCTCCTGTTGACAGATGTTTCTCCATGGGTCTCTCATGTTTCTGCATATTTTTCAAGCAGAGGCACTGACTGCTTTATTGCCAGCTACCTTTTCCGGCATGTTTATGTAGTGAACAACGTTGAAAGATAGAGGTAGTACCTCCTTCTAAAGCAAAGGAAAGGTTTGTTTACAGCCTTGGAAGTTAGAGATAGTGTCTCCTTCTGTAGAAAGCAGACTTAACTCTTCAGTGTAAAAGCTTTGGTTTCTTGAAGCTAGGATTCTTCTCCTGTAACACAACCTGCTGCATGTGCAGGTGTCACCTGGCCCTCTCTGCATTGTCCTATGGGAATCAGTTCAGGAAACCTATGCAAAAATGCTAATACTTTGGTTATTGCTATTGCTCTGAATAATAAACTGTCCTTCATCTCTGACCCAGGAGCGACTTATATATTCTTTCACCATCACGATTATGAAAGAATAATTTGTAAGCTTGCAAGGAAGGTAAAATCTCAGATGATTTACAGTTCTTGACACCTCCCTAGAGGTAACAAACTTTGCCCTTGATTGTTCGGCTCCTAGAAAGCATGCTCTTCCAACCGCCCATTAGAACTCCTCGCCCATACACCTGAAACTTTCAAGGCAGAGCTAGATTTCAGTCAAGCTACAAAGACCTCATTATCAAGCACCACACTTCTCCAGTGTTTCACTTGAAGTTTCCTGAATGGCTGCCCTGGAGATTTGAGGGCTTAATGCTAAAAGGCCTTAAGCATTTAGAGATCTCTAAACATCACTAATATTTAACTCAAAGATTTGTGTGCATTTTGGAATACAACATACCCCATCCATATTTGTTTTAATGTAAAAATAACACTTTAAAATTCTAGCCATCAGGGATTTTAAAAGTGTTTTCTAACTGTCTTGTTTGTTAAGACAGTTGACATGATGCCACTGGATGATGCTACTAGATTTCAAAAAATTGGGCTACATTAAAACAAGCAAGCCTTGCATTTCAAATTCGGCATCCAGGCAATTTTTCTTTCTTTGACTTGGTATTACAATATTTCAAGTACTAAAACTCATGAAAACATGTGACCACAAATGAAGATCATTTTTCCATCGTTTTACAAACTGGGGCTTGGTTACTCAGAGGAGACTCTCAGGAAGCTGGCCCCAGGCTGTGGGTGGCAGAATGTCATTGTATCTCCTGTTGAGAGGTCACATTGCTCCTGTGGCAGGGAATGACTCTTACCTAAACTGCTGCTTTTGTTTTTTTTAGGTCTCACTCTGTCACCCAGGCTGGAGTGTGGTGGCCCAATCATCATTGCTCACTGCAGCCTCAAACTCCAGGACTCAAGCAATCCTTTCACCTCAGCCTCCCAAGTAGGGAAGCTACAGGCACATGACACCATTCCCAGCTAATTTTTAAATCTTTTGTAGAGACAGGGTCTTG